GAAACTACCGTGGGAAACATGGTACGTCGCGTCCTGAAACTTGTCCGTGAAGAGTATAGTAGGTGAGTGTCCAGGAAAAAGAGCCGGCAGAATGATGTCTTATTATATTAATCTGTGTTCTAAAAAAATGATATAAAATGGAGGGGTCCTCAATGAAACGTGCCTGCTAGTTACCCCACTTTAAGTGCTATGTTGCACTTTTCAGAACACATCTCATTCACTGTGTGGACTAAGAACCTGGAGTCTATGTAGGAAGCCCACTGCAAAAGCAGGTCCTAATCCAGCAAACAAGCTAAGTGCTGATCCTGTCTCCTTTGCTGTGTAGGCTACGAGGACGGAGTGAGGAGAATGACCAGCAGGAGTCACTGCATAATCTGGTTACCGCAGAGGGTCTGAGTGATGACTTCAATACTGCATTACCCCAGCTGAAGGCCAATGTGATTGAAGCCGTGAATGAACTGCTGCTGGAGCTTGGTAATGAGTGCCACATTGTATCCCTTAGATGTCACGTTTCTTCTTTTTATTGATTGTCGTTTTCTGATTGGTTCATTATGAACTCTTAGAGGGAACCACAGAAAACATCACTGCGCAAGCCAAGGAGCACATTCATTCCAATGAGGTCATCATGACCATTGGTCGGTCACAAACAGTTCAGCTATTTCTGGAGGAGGCTGCCCGCAAGAGGAAATTCCACGTCATCGTGGCAGAGTGTGCACCCTTCTGCCAGGTAGGAGATGGAGAACTGCCCCAGTGGAGGATGTTTGTGAGACGTCTTTCTCTGGTAGTGGGATCGTTTTACCAGCATTGGGTATTTGTGACAGTAAAGATGTCCTAGTGTTAATATTTGAGATGTCTTTCCATGGGTTCTCACGGTGGGCTTTGACAAGACCCCATGCCCTCCAGCTGTCTTGCTGAATAATTACAATCTTACATCCCTAGGGCCATGACATGGCTGTCAGTTTGTCCAAGGCTGGTATTGAGACCACAGTAATCACAGACGCTGCTATCTTTGCTGTAATGTCTCGAGTGAATAAGGTAAGTAGCCTTTGTTGCTACAGTTTGTTGTTTTCTAGATTACATGTGAAGCTGACCGTTTTATCTGTTTAAAGGTCATCATTGGAACAAAGACCATCCTAGCAAATGGATCTCTGCGTGCTGTGTCTGGGACACATACATTGGCTTTGGCCGCCAAACACCACTCTACTCCACTCATTGTCTGCGCTCCTATGTTCAAGCTGTCTCCACAGGTATTGCTTCTTCACCCTCTGTAATATGCTGTATATTTTGGGCGGGAGTTAATGTCTTGGAGTGGTAGCACATGGAAGTAAATTTGCTTCTTTCTGCAGTTCCCCAATGAGGAGGATTCGTTTCACAAATTTGTCTCTCCACAAGAGGTTCTGCCTTTTTCAGAAGGTACGTACTGTAACCCCAGCATTAATTCAGCTCTGTGTTTAAGCAGTGTGCACTAGGGGAGGCTCTGTGTCAGAGTAGCGCATGTGTGCTGGGGAGGCTCGGCGTCTGAGCAGCACGTGTGTGCTGGAGGAGGCCTGGCGTCAGAGCCATGCGTGGGCGCGCTGGGGGAGGCCTGGCCTCAGAGCAGTGCTTGGGCGCGCTGGGGAGGCCTGGCCTCAGAGCAGTGCTTGGGCGCGCTGGGGAGGCCTGGCCTCAGAGCAGTGCTTGGGCGCGCTGGGGAGGCCTGGCCTCAGAGCAGTGCTTGGGCGCGCTGGGGAGGCCTGGCGTCAGAGCAGTGTGTGGACACTGAGGGAGGCTCAGTATTCAAGCTGTGTTTGTATATAGGAAGATACTCCTCCTTAAAGTTATATTTAACACATTGTTTTAAAGAGCATACAATTTATCTAAACATGTAGTTCATCTGCTCTGTCATAGCGCGGGTGCTGACCATTCTGTGAATAGAGCACGTCTCGTACTGTGCTGAGGGAATATAGGAATAGCGACTGATGTATTTCCATTCTGACATTAACGTGTTAGTGATGAGGCTGGCACATCAGCATCATAGTGGAGCTCTACCTTGCTTGAGGTGTGTAGATGTGAGATATGTCCCCCAGCAGGGTGGGATGTAGGTTGAGCCTGGAGATTTGTCCTGTATTAGTGTATTACCCATTCAGCTGGAGTGATGGTGGCATGGCACTAATCAAGAAGGTGAGTATTTAAACTATTAAATATATCGCTGATCATTTT